AGCTGATGTTCAAAGCTGCTATTCCCACTCAGATAATAACGAGCAAGGTCAGCCTCTGCTGGTCAGGTTCAGTGTTTTGAAATTACATTTTGGTCTGTGAGGCTTCCCTCCGACATCCCAACCAACCGGGCTGCACGGAGCACACACGCCACTACAGAAAGTTGCAGCTGCAATTAGCTGGTGAGTTGACACAGCAGGCAAGGCGTGAAACAAAATTTCAAAAACTGCCAAACTTGATCAGCAAGGGTTCCTGCACGCTTGCCATGTCATTTCCAAGCAACAAGAGAGCAGCATCTCAGAAGCTTAACCCCTTTCACGGTCAGAGGCTTGCAGAGAGAGGACACAACCAAGACCAAACCCCACTTTCCTCCTCCTGCGTCCCTTCCAGCAAACCCCAAGCAGCTTGGGGTTTGCAGGCAGAAACCACCAGGAGAGCTGCTCTTTCTTTTTGGAAATTCCCCCACTGCAAGACTGCGATGCTACTTTATTTCTCGATGTAATTTTTTCCCCAGTACTTACCCCCAAATGCCAAGACACCTAGTTCAGTTTGATCAGAGGCACGTGGTGTCTAACCAGGGCTGCCAAGAAACAACGGGCTCACCTTTGACAAATTTCACATGTGGAGGATCCCATGTGGGCAAGGATTAGAAAATGAGAAGTAGCGTCACAGAGGTAGGGAAATTAACAGCTGGACACTCAGCCGTTTAAATCCGTGATCACAAAGGGAATGCTGATTGATTACCAAATTCTGAAAGTACCATCAAGTTGCTCTCTCATCTCCTGTTGCTAGCTATCCATCGCTATCTTTTCTTAGAAACAGTAGATGAAGCCTTTCTATTTTTGGCTACCTACACTCCCTTCCTTTGCCCTTTACAACTTAATAGACTTGCTGCTGGTAAATACAAAACAAAACCTGTTCTGAGTGCTCGGAGCTCCAATGCGCATTAAAAAATTATAGACACCACCTCTGGACATACTGAAATTTATGGCTGTGTCTAAAGAGGCTGTTATTGTAGTGAGTAATCTAAACTTTACTTCTATTCACAGTCAGACAAACTAGCTTTAATCAGCCTGTATCTTCTCAGTCGGGGTCTTTCTGTAAAATTATTCAGCTGACTTTGTAACACAAGTGTCCACTAAGTACACCTCTAAATTTTTCTAAGCCATTTTACTGATATTTCTATTCACATGGCAATCAGCTGCAGTTCCTCTAAGGGCACTGTTCATAAAGTCTCGTTTCCAAGTGAGCCTGGGAACTTTTTATAAATGGTAGACCTTTTAAATAACAGTTATCTACAATGGTCCTGTGGCGTACGGCTCCACAGTGCTCTGGTCTGCAAGAGAGCTGCTGGTCCCCTCTGAAAGCATGGAAGTTCACCACCTAATTTCTTTAATGCAACTCTAAAGGTTAATTGGTCTGAAAGAGTAATGCGGGACTGCTAGCTAATGATATATGCCTCAAGGCTTTGCAGCTTGCCTGTATTTTATACAGTCAAGTCCAGAGCATAAACGCACAGGTGATATCACTGGGACTTTTTGGACCCCTCCTCCAACTTCCCGCAGCCCCCTTCGGCCTCCCCCTCTCCCACCCGAGCCCCTCCACTACACCCACATGTGCCGAGTGAGAGCAGCAGGAGCTGAAGGCGGTTCTCCTCCACCTGCATTTCATGCCTTGTTAGAGGGGGCTCCGAGAAGTGCCGCCACTGCACTCCTCATTACCACTGCAGAGAACTAAAAACAACCCTAATGAGGAGAGCCAGAGCATACAGTACAGGGTGGGAGGAGGGACGTCCTCCCACACTCCCCAAGGAATCTGGCCAAAATCTTCAATTTGCCATTTATGACAGCTAATTAGTTATTCTATTCAAAATCTTTGCTTTAAATAAAAGAACTAATTATACACAAAGGTCAGTCCCCCACCTCCTGTGAAGCACACATAATTGGCTTATTTCCCCAACATTGTGTGTATGTTTTACACAATGCTTTCAGGCAGATGGC